CCCATCTTCCTTCCGAGGAGTGGCTGGTGGGTTTGAACTGCCAGCCTTCTGGTTAGCAGTCAAGTGCCTTGGGCACTATGCTACCAGAGCTCCCAAGTATCAAGCTTGTTGTTGTTGTTGTTATGTGCCGTGGAGTCAGCCCCGACTCATAGCGACCCCTCCTTGGGTTTCCAAGGCAGTATCACTGCGGAAGTAGGATTGCCCAACCTTCCAAGTATCAAGCTAGGTGGGGAAAAATGAGACAGCATGGTCCTTGTTCTTGTGGCATTTGCAGACCAGCAAAAATCTACAAAAAAAACCATTTTAGTGAAAATATCATATCAGTGAACTAGATTAGGCCTTGGAAGGTAGGTTAATGGAGAATTTTTATAAGAGAGTGACTTTTCTGGTTTAATTTTTCTTTGTGTAAACTGTAAAGGGGTTACATGTAGCAGCATATTACATTGCCATGACCGTTATTAGGGGCAAATACAGTTTGAATCACATACACTATCTCTTGATGTCATTGTCTGAGAAAGTATATTGAGATCATTGTTTTTCACCTCTAGCATTTCTACTGTATGCATTTTAAATTATGTTTACAATATTTTCCTTTATATAACTTAGGAGAATATTTGAATTTAAATGATGATAAGTATATTCTATGGGAAAGCAAAAATATATAACTTATGTTTTTAAGTCAAGATTTTGTTTATACATCCATATATATGTTCACCAAAGGTGTTTTACTACAGATAAAGTTGATTATTATATATAAGTTTATTAGCAGTTAGGCGTTTGAAGAAAAATGTGTCAGCATGATAGGAGTATCTCCTATTCCTAAAATGGGGAAAAAAATGCTTTTTTTCTTTATTTTTAGCTGAACTTGGAGACTATGACCCATATAAACATACTGCGGGATACGTGTCAGAGTACCGTTTTGTTCCTGATCAGAAGGAAGAACTCGAAGAAGCCATAGAAAGGATTCATAAAACTCTGATGTAAGAATCACATTTTACATTGCATTATCCACCAACCATTTTCTTATGCTATTGGCAGCATAAGAAAAATTTCTGGAATGATAAATTCTTCACATCTGCTTTGAACCTTCTAGTACTTTTTTTCTTTTTTTTTTAGTTTGTTTTACTTTTTATAGCACTGAAATGATCATAGAAAATGCAAACAGTTTATAAATGTATAAAGAAGAAGGCAAATCCTAGTACTTGATATTTTTGTTTAATGACCTTTTAGATCTCTCTCTCTATGCATACTTAATCCCTGGAGAAAATTCATTTTATGTAGATTTATGTATATATGACTTTACATTAATGGGATTATTCTTTATTTTATTTTGCAGGCTTTTCTTTTTTCTTTTTGTTTTTCAGTCACCAGGACCTTGTGAAATTTTTAAAAATTGTTTTAGTTTTTAATGTTTTTCATTATATTTTCTAATATGTTTTTTAGCCACAAAAATTACAAATGCTTTACTGTATTCTGGATTGCCATTTCTTAGATTCTTCAGTTACAAGCAAAGTCCTATTTAGTCTATAGCAACAGATCCAGAAATGATGACACCAGCATGGAGCCTCTGAGTGTATTATGTTAACACCACATGCACTTGTGAGAATATGCATGCTCCTCTAGGAAGATTTTCAATTAATGGCCTGAATCATTGAAGTTATAATTTAATTATAGTTATTTTGGTTAAATCCTCTGTACTGATTAAGTTTGCTTTATTGTCTTCTGTGTAACATTCCATCTTGAATTTGCCTGGGTTAAGATCCATTTTATTTAAGAGAAAAAAAAATAATAAATCTGGTCAACAAAAAATGTTTGCCTAAAGGATCTATTTCAGTGAGTAGAAGCAGAAGGCAGTTGCTGAATTGCAATGAGAGAGACCAGTGTCTCCATCTTACATTAGCATGCGCTAGAATGCTCTCCAGCCTGATTATAGAGTCCTTCATTTTAAGGTTTTGCTGAAGTGGATTTTAAGACTATGGATTTTAACTTTATGAAGGGCAGTGTGTTTGGCACATTGTGAGAATACTAATTATACTAGGCATTTGAAAGTACAATTTTATTTTGAAATTATCAAAGAGTGATAAGTAATAACAACAACAACATGTATGCTTTATTTGATGATGCTGACATGATTGCTGTTTCTGAGAGAAAAAAGCTTGGTCACAATTAGGAGCTTACTTGTATCTAATCTGCAATGAACATTCCTCATGGATATCACAAGTATGGTAGGTATATTGCTAGGTTTCCTGTGCACCATGGCTGAAACAGCAATATGTCAATATAGAAATACATTAAAGCAAGAGTTCTTAATTTTTTTAATTCATAGTACCTTTTGTTAACCACTAAAATTTCCTTTTCTCTTTGTCCCTCTCTTTATGATACACACACACACACACACATACAGTTTCACTCATCCATGAAGATTTCTGGCAGAATGCTCAACTTCATTAGGATTCAGTGCTGTTTTCTGTATATTATTGCCAGTGAAGATTTTGGGAAGGCATGAGGAAAAAAGACAAATATTCTTAAAATTTCCAAATACTAATTAGAGCATTTTCAAACGGTACACATGCTCAGGAGATATGGATTGTGATGCCAGTTGGTTTGGACTGGGGCCCATTCTCTTCCCTGCCCACCCCCCTCTAGTTCTTTTCCTTCTGATGGAGAGCTATTGGCGCGAAGACATTTTACTCTTTGTTATGGGTGCATTTTTTAATTTGAATGCTTAATTCCCAACAACCTTTTTTGGGGGTTTCTGGAACTGAGGTTAATAAATACTGGAACATTGGGAAGGAGCCATGGTAGCTCAGTGGTTAAGCAGGAGAAAGATGTAGCAATCTGCTTTGGTAGAGATTAACAGCTTTGGAAACCTTATGGGGCAGTTCTACTCTGTCCTATAGGGTCACTATGTATTAGAGTCAACTTCAGCGGGGGGTTGGGTTCGATTTTAGTTTGGGATTTTGGGAACTGGGTATAATGAACAAAAATAGATTTGGTAAATGAAATGAATGTAAGTATCACCTCAGAGTATAAAATTTTATCACCTAGAAAGCGAGGATCTTCTTGAAATACAAAGATTTATATTTGCATTAGGACAAAGGATTATTTATTCTCCCAGTGACAGTAATGAAGACAGTTTACATTCCCTGTGAGAACAGTACTTAACAGTTAAGTAAGACTTTCTGTTTTCATGCTTGGGATAGGGGTCAGACTCCATCTGAAGCTGAACTGAACTACTTGAGGACTGTCAGGTCCCTGGAGATGTATGGTGCTGACCTCCATCCTGTCTATGTGAGTAACATTTAATTAACAGAAAAAATTTTAAGATGATGATATTTTTCTTAGAAAGTCATAGAGACTTCTGAAGGAAAGCTGCAGTCTTGTAGTTTAGCAAGCAGATGATACTTTTTCATCTGTGTTTTTCAAACACAAAATATCTCTTGTGTGGATTAAACCCTAATGAGTTTTGCATAAAAGTCTGTGATTATATTTCCATGTGTTGAAAACAATTAACTGGGGTTGAAAACACAATCTGGATAACAGCTCCAAAGGGCTTAGTCTAAATGTCAAAACAATTTAAAATTGGTCTGTAATTGATTGTATTAGACAGAAAACATGAAGATTTTCCAAAAATAGATTTTACGGCTGAAAAATTTTCACGAAATGCCTTGCCAGGTAAAGTAGACATTAGGCAGTAGTCCAAGGTACAGCTATTGGTGGTTCTGTGTTGGATGTGCAGGTTCTGTTAATTTTAGGGTTACTACCTACTGTAGGTGTCACGGTATTAATAGAAACATTTTGAAGATTTTCTTCAGTGCCTGATGAACACTTGCCAAATATAGTCAGTGAGCAATTCCAGTGAATCTGTGTGAGTGTTCTGGATCCAGGTCTTAGCCTTTGAGCCAGTTGTCTAAAGCTATCAATTGATTATTCTGTGCCAGTGAGATTAAAATGCCATTGCCTTTGATTTTATGAGTTTAGTTTGGAGTAGTCATATTTGATTATTTGAGAAAAAGAGTTAAGTGCTTTACTCTTTACAGGAAATGAATTGCTAAAGAGTCTGAATTTGTCAATTGGATAACAGAACTTAATTTTTTAAGGAACCTTGATAAGACTTCCTATAATGCAAGTAACTCATTCATGCATTCATTCTGTAATATATAATTTTTTAAGGAACCTTGATAAGACTTCCTATAATGCAAGTAACTCATTCATGCATTCATTCTGTAATATATCTTTTGCTCATCAGGGTTTCCTAAAACAAGAAATCATCTCACATTATTTTAAAGAGTTAGAAGCATTCCTGGGGTTACAGTGAATTTGGTGATAAAAGTTACAGATTTGGGGGAAGTAACACTTTCCCTGATATACTGGAATCCAATCTCATTAGATTCTTTGTACTATTGTTTGTCCCAAATACTTCTAAAACTTTTCCCTCCCAGCCACATTAATCTTTTAGGTTTTCAGTTGTTTGTTTTCTTTTACTATTCTACAGGAACCATATAAAAGAGAGATTCTCCTGGAAAATGATTCTGCGTGTATACAATGTTTTTCCTAATTCACAGACACTCTTTGTGGGTGGTGGCAATTTATGGCCAATGAGCTGGGTTCATTAGACTTGTACATCCATTCCTTTAAGATATTGGTGTCACTTAGCTAGCTTTCTAAGCTGACAGCTTTCAAATATTAGATCCAATATTAATATGACAATTTATGTTTGTATAGCCCTTTACAGTTTGACAAAGCTTTTACATGAATAAACTCATGGATATAGGCATATGTTTGTTTTCACAGGGAGAAAACAAATCTGAGTATTTCTTAGGATTAACTCCGGTTGGTGTTGTTGTCTACAAGAATAAAAAACAAGTGGGGAAGTATTTCTGGTAGGTACAACTTGAAAGCAGAGTTGGTAATAAAGTTATAAACTGTGTATGTGGGCTTTGTGGAACTTGTAGGTAATGAAAGGTTGGGGAAAAAAACAGCAGGTACATTTCTAGTGGTTGATAAATAAATGACTGAAATTGGATATGTTTTTTCCCAATACAGCTTAGTGTATATTTTCTCTATAAATTTCAGGTACTATGATTCTGGACTCTTTTTGCCCATGGATACAGTGCGCTGTGGAATTTCCCACCCATTTCAAGGCCTGACTGGATTCCTGTGTTCTGGTGCACTGTGGGCTGAGGATGACAAAAGTTTGAGTTCTCCCTCTCAATGAGGAGAGACTGGGGAGTCTATGACCCTGATCTTTGTCTGGGAAAGGGCCTGGGGACTTTCTGATTGAAAGGTTGGAGATTCAAGTCCAACCAGAGGCACCTGGCAAGAAAAGCCTAGAGATCTACTTCTGCAAAGTCAGCCATTGATAACCTATTGAACAGCAGGTCTATTTTGACACATGTGGCATCACCATGAGTCAGAGTCAACTGGATTGGTTTCATTTTTTGGCTGTGCTTTTAGTGGAGGAGAATAACAGAATTTTGTTTAGAAGGATGTCCAGAGCAAAGGACAAAGAACTCCACAGTCAGTGAAGCAACATATAATGAAACCACCATTAACGATCTTTTTCCACTGAATTACTTCTTTGAATTTCTGAAAGATTAATTCTTGACAACAACAATAACAAACACTTTCTTTGTTTTTCAGGCCTCGAATTACAAAAGTTCACTTCAAGGAAACTCAGTTTGAACTCAGAGTCTTAGGAAAAGATGTAAGTTTTTGTTTAAAAAAAAAAACTCACTGCCGTTGAGTTGGATCCAATTCATAGTGATCCCTCCTTGGATTTCTGAGGTGGTGGTGGTATCACTAAGAAAATAGATTGCCTAATCTTCCTTCTGAGGAGTGGCTGGTGGGTTTGAACCCCAGAGCAGAAGACATACCTGCTCATTTGTAACTTAAAATGCACCGTGAAACAAACTACCAGGTTTTCTTCAGCTGCAGCCACATGGAACCAGGTTCATTGACTCAAGTGCACAACTTCTCAAGAAGGCGAAAGGGAAGTAAGTAGAAATGAATGACATGAAAGTGGAGAAATGCCATGTAAGTTTTAGGAAGGGAAAATATCTTTTCAGAGCAGAGGAGGATAACGCAACACAACATACTGCCATTGAGTTGGATCTGACTCATAGCAACTTCTCCTTGGGTTTAGTTGATTATCATTATTAGGAGAAACCCTAGTGGCTCAACAGTTAAGCACTTGGCTGATAATGGAAAGTTTTGTGGTTTGAACCCACCCAGTGGCTCTGAAATCTGCTCCTGTGAAGATTGTAGTTGTTGTTGAGTGCTGTTGTGTCAATTTAGACTCATGGAGACCCAATATGACAGCATGGAACTCTCTCCCAGGGTTTCCTAAGCTGTAATCTTTATAGAAATAGATCACCAATGTTTTCTCTCACAGAGTGGCTGGTGGGTTGGAACCTTTTGATTAACCATTGTGCCACCAAGGCTCCTTCAGTAAAGATTACATCCTAGAAAACCCTATATGGTAGTTCTACTCTCTCACATAGGTTCACTGTGAGTCATTATTAGTGTGCTTTTCTCTTTAGTATCATCTGTGAAGGTAGGATTCCTGTTCTAAGAATGCAGTTTGCATACAAAATAAAGTGTCCTGTTTTGCTGTAAAGTAAATTAACAGCTGTAGGAAATAACATTTTTACTCTTTCCTTTGTTGAGGATGGTAGATAAACCAGATGGGAAATTCTACATGCTGTCAAGCGAGAATGCCAGGTGAAAGTGCAAAATGCTAACTTTTGCTCTGCAGCTTGGCAGTGTCCTCCAGGATTGTGTGGATAATGGGCACTGGATTTGTCTGCACCTGAAGATACTTTCATGCTTTGACAGGTAGCTTTTAGGAAACTGGACAAAAGAAAGAGTGGTGGTTACATTTGTGTGTTAACTTGGCTGGGCCTGGTTGAGTGGCTGGGCAGCTGAATGTAGTTATTCCCCATGGTGAGATTAGTAATTAACTCCATGATGGAATCTACTGGAGCAACTGAGTAGCTGCTTTGGGTATGTGATCTGCTTCCTATATATAAGAAACAGCTTTGGGGATTGTCTCTAGCTTATGGCATGCTTGAACCCTGCATGTAACCGTGTCGTTGTTCAGCAGCCTGCCATGCTCTGCTGACCTTGAAACTTTCAGTAGACTTGAATGAGCAGCCTGCCATGTGGTTTGGTAATATCGGGACTGTGCCATTTTGTTTGTTGACCTTGGGTCTGTCAGTCTCAGCAGCCAGTAGCTACCTGAGTGAAGTAGCTTCAGTGGCCCGGGAGCCAGGAGCAAGAGGCAGAGCTGAAGCCCAAGGTTGAGGGGCTTTCACCCAGCCCCTAGAGCCTGAAACTTTGAACTCTGACTTCTAGCCTCCCGAACTGCAAGAGAATAAACTTCTGTTGGTTCAAGCCATGCCATTTCTGGTATATTCCTGTCAGAGCAGTACTAAGTAACCAGAACAGAAAGTAAGGCTATAAAAGTTTCTTTTTCGTGTGACCATGAAAATAATGCTCCTTTGAAGTGCTATTATAATAATCCATATGTTTATCTTATGATAAATGACAGTAAATATGTAGGAGAATCTACTCTTCTTTTTCTTTATGTAGAACAAAAACTAAGTGAATAGAGTTGAACTAACTTGCTTTCTGATGAAATACTTGTAGTATAAATAAATAAATAAAAACTGTGCTCAGCTTATGTATCCACAGTTTGAGACAGAGGAAAGGCACAGTTATAGATATGGTTGCAACATAGTTTTGGGCACAATGCCTCGTGTAGTAGGCACTCAGTATCTGTTCAGTGAATCAGTCTACTGAGAGTGTATACTGCCTAATCAGAAAATGTGATATTACTATTTGTTTTCCTTTTTTGGGAAAAAAAAATATACCCCCCTGAACAATACATGCTGAAATTTATAGATAAAATTAGCATTGGATTTTTGAACTGAATTTTAAATCATAAGGAAAGGGAGTTCCAAGTTTTTCAAGAAATAATAGGGCCCAAAACTGTATAGTTGCTCTTAACTGTCCACTTTGGAGAAACTTTAGAGTTATCTTTATTCTTGATTAGAGACAGAAGTCTTAAAAGGTGTGTTAATGAAAGCTTGAGTCAGTGGAAGGATTAAAATTATTCATAAAAGTGCCATACCTAGATAGTAAGATTGTATAGTTTTCCCCCTATACTGCCACTGGTTTCATACTACTATTTTTTTCTCCCATATTTGAAGAAAACCTAGAGATTTTTGCCAGATAATTTTTAGAGCACTTAGTGGGCTAATGAAAGGAATAAGTTCTGTTAAATATATTGGTTATAATGTTTCAAGTGTTTTAGGAGAATATGCTAATAAAATAATAAGATTTTTTATGGAAGATTACTGTTATTCATTTTTCCCCTTTATACTTATGTTATACTTATGTTATTTTTGTGAGTGAGGTTCTTTGGGGATCTTCTTCTATGTTATCAATACAGTATCTTAAAGTGTACTCTTCTGTCACCAGATTATTGTTTTTGTTAGTTACCACTGAGTTGATGCCGATTAATATGTGGTAAAATCAACCTGTGGTCAGAAAAATCCAGGGTCATTAAAAAAGAGGAAGACCTTCAGTGAGATTGATTGACACAGTGACTACAACAGTAGGCTCAAACAAAGCAACAATTGTGAGGATGGCACAGGACCAGGCAGTCTTAAGTCCTCTTGTATGTAGATAGGGTCACTATGAATTCGAATCTACTCAGTGGTACCTAATAAGAACAACAACAAAATCAAATCTAACCAGAATTCTCAACTTCATAGACTTCTTCATTATCAGGAGCAGACAACAACAAAATTAATACCACAGTGTCATTTTTTAATGGCAGTCTGTATGGTAGGGTATATTCAGTTCAGTTCCCAATCCTTTTCCATCTTTGAGATGTAATGAATAATCAGGTGTGGCCTGAGGCACTGCACAGGTAGATCTGCCCCATAGCATTTCCTAAAGCTGTAATCTTTATGGAAGCACACTGCCTCATCTTTCTCCTGTGGAGTGGCTGGTTGGTTCCAACCATGACCTTCTGGTAAGCAGCCGAGCACATAACCACCACTCTACCAGGACTCCTTTGGTGATCTTCAATGAGGTGGAAAAGCAGTTTGCATAGCTGAGAGGATTGAATCAAAGGGATTTATTACTATTATAAAGAGCACATGAATTTAACGAAAGCACTACATTTCCTGAGCATTTTTGCTGGCAGGGTCTTTTTTTTCTTTTTCCACCAGGATACCTTTCTTTGAGGCAGTAATTTACAAAATGGTAGAATTAACTTGATTATTATGGAGGCCTAACTGTAATCACTGATTGAATGAAAAAGCTCCCTAAAGCTGGAACAGTAATCACATTCAGCTTGAAAAATGGTCGACATGCTTATTCTGCTGGTTTTCTGGTCTGCTGGTTTGGCCTAAGAGACTTAACTCAGTATGTTCAATGCCTTTAGGGCTAAATTCAGAGATTCAGTGCCCAAATTAATAGACAATATTCTATGGATTAAAAAAAATTTCTTGGTGTAACACTATACCACTAACACTGTCCAACTCCTTTATCAATATTAACTATTCCCAGTATAACCTATCTTAAATACTAATAGCCTATTGTGCTGTTGACTTGGTTCTCATTGATAGTGACCCTGTGTACAATAGAACTAAACACTGCCATCTGCATAATCCTTGTTGTTTTTGAGCCCATTGTTGTAGTCACTGTGTCAGTCCGTTTCATTGAGGGTCGTCCTCTTTTTTGCTGACCCTCTACTTTACCAAGCATAATGTCCTCCTCCAGGGACTGGTCCCTCTTGATAACATGTCCAAATGATGTGAGGTGAAATCTGACCATCCTCACTTTTAAGGAGCATTCCAGCTGTGTACTTCTTTTCAGACATATTAACATACATTATTTATTTATTCAAGGAACTCTGGTGGTGCAGTGCCTAAGACACTGGACTGCTAACCAGAAGGTTGGCCATTGAAACCCACCAGCCTCTCCAAGGAAAGATGATGGGATGATCTATTTCTGTGAAGATTTAGCACCTTGGAAACCCAGTGGTGGTCGCTATGAGTCAGAATTGACTCAATGGCAGTGAGTTTGGTTTTCTTGAGTTTTGATTTATTTATCCATGTATCTTTTTGCATCTACAAATACCACAAAAAAAATCTCATCTTTCATAGATATGAGTAACATAGTCAACTCAGTGATTCAATTTAGGAGAGAGTTGTAAATGTTGTGTACAGTTAAATATTGGTTTTGTAAAAATTTGTGCCTCTGCAAGATTCAGAAACCAAACACTTTTATCTATTATTTTAACTTTAAAATAGGCCCTGTTTAATACAGTACTTCACAGAAAATCTAACATTTTAATAAGAAGATCTTAGATGCTGACAGAAGAAAATTTTAATTACCCGTTATGCTAAAATTCAGAGGTAATGATTATTAGTATTTTTACATAATTCTTTTCAGATTTTACCCGATTCAAATGATTGTATATCTATGTGTGCCTATATGAAGGAGCCCTGATGATGCAAATGATTAAGCACTCACTACTAACCAAAAGGTTGGTGATTTGAACCCACCTGGTGACTTGGTGGGAGAAAGACTCGATCTGCAGTGTAGGAAACCATATGGTGCAGTTCTACCCTGTCATATGATGTCATTATGAGTTGAAATTGACTCAGTGGCACCTAACAATAACAGCAG